GAGCCTGATACTCAGGCTAAATAGAAAACAAAGGAATTAGCATAATTCAATATTATTTTGTACTATTTAAGGTTCATGGATTAAGTGCGTTCACTCTATCAGATTGTGACTTTAATATTATACCAAAGGGAATTTGAGTAGGCAAAATGATATCAAAATCAAATAGAAATCAGAATTAATTCCTCACTTCACTAAGTTCTTGAGGTGTCATTGTCCCAGCTGGTGGAATGGCATCTTGAACGGCTTGTACACTGGCTTTACCACCCTTGAGAGCATTAAGCCTTGCACGACTACGMGTTTTGCTGTTTCTCTCAAAAAATGACATCATCTAGAATACACAAATACATTATTTTTATAAAACTAGAWGTTCAAGAACAAAAATCATTCTGTCAATCAAACTTTTGGCTGATATGCAAACTATCTGTCATTATGAATGGTTATTATTAATGGAGTGGAATGTGAAATGGTTATTTAAAATCACAACATACTTGTCTATCATCAACGACTTTAGACAAAAGATAAACCAATGGATCCAGTTCACGGACACTGCAATAAACCAATATTATAATAATGGTTAAGATTATTTTAACACCTTCATTATATTTTTTGTATTTTTTATCATGTATATTCCAAAACCTTTGGATAAAGATGCATATTGTACGTACTTTTTTGATTTGAGTTCATCGTATTTTTTAAGGAATTCTCTTGGAGTCTGTGACGATTCTGCAATTTTGCTTTTGGAAGTGTGAGCTGACACCTAGTAGAAAGTCAACATGATTATCATAAATTCTATCTTCACATTGGTCGTCAACAAGGAAAGTACAAACCTGAGTTGTAACATAGGGTGTCATGTTTCTTGTCAACATTTCGGTGTAAACTTCAGGTCCGTCTCCAGCAGAAACTCTATGAAAACAGAGTAGAGTTTGTTTAGAATATCTCAATCATTTAAACTCGGGACCACCCTCATTTGGACTTAGAAAGTCTTAGAATAAGAAGTCACATTCCACCATATGACSATGTGTTTTGAAGACTGCAAATATTATTCATTTATTCAATTTATTCATGACTAAGTCACTTACCCAAGCAACGAAAGAAGCTCTGAAACATGATGGTGAATGCGAAACTCACTCATATCTGGTTGCCTGCTTCGTATTTCGAGAAAAAAAATATCAGTCGAATATATCGATAATAAAGTCCAAAATTAGGGCCAAACCAGTTGAAAGTATCTTATCTTGCAAAGATATTATTTCTTTCGCACGACTGATGTCAAATTGCAGAATACTGACAAATATTTTCCCAAAGCTTTTGAAGTAGTTTATCCAAGTTAGGCGCCATTTTGAGCGCTCATTTCGAAACCGCTGACAAACCATAATACGGACGCGCTAGTTTATTACGAGGGAGGGGAGATTAATTAAACTGAAAAACCAATTTCTTTTTTAGACAGAAGAGGGGGTGTAAATCGTTAGCGTTGTTCTGAAAAGCTTTTTTTAAGGATAAGCACAATCAAGTTTATCCATTTTTGGTGTATCTAATCATTCACAATAATTTCATCCTTAAACAAGTGTTGATAGCCCGTCCCCCTCCAAGTTAGAATCGCAATAAGCACATTTCCCGCGCACTGTCTCACCTGTTATACGACWGGTCACACGTCTGCACTGTTCGAGTGAACAAGGTCTGATTTTTCAAAATTTTGAAAATCTAAAGAAATGTCAAACTTTGATTCAACAGAAGGACTCCCTCCAGGATGGCGGAAAGTCGTTTCGGAGAGAAAATCAGGAAAAACGAAGGGTCGTTTGGACGTGTGCATGATCAGCCCCGATGGCCGTCGATACTTCTCCAAAAAAGATCTCCAAAGGCAGCTGGAAAGCTCCAATTCGCCACTGAAAATTGAAAASTTTGACTTCAGCAAAACAATCAAAAAGCTGGAAAAGAATTCTGATGCCCCAGAGGAGAAGAAATTGAAATCAAAAATCGAACCAAAAGATTCYGAGTTGGAGAACGGCAAAGAGGTGGAGAGCCCCCCAAAGATGGAGTCGCCAGTAGCAACGGTGTCTGCCAGCCCWACCGAGAAAGTCTCACGCTCAGGAAGGAAAATTCGCCCTTCTTTCAAACTGAGTCCAGATCTCTTCTTCAAGTCGGTTGAACGGCATTGCAGTGAGAAACTTGTAATCAGAAAAGATTGGAGAAAGAGCATTGATGGGGTTAACAGATTTATTGCCAAGACAGGGGCACCCCCTGGATGGGAGAAAGTTCTGCATAAAAGATTGCATGGAAAGTTCAAAGGAAAGTGTGATGTGTATATGATCAGCCCTCAAGGAATTGTACTACGATCCCGTCCCGAAATTAAATCMTTCATAGCAGCAAATGGTCTTGACTTGTCAATTAGTGACTTTGATATGACAGCTGYCGATCATCCRTCCACTGGTAAGACAATTGACAACACAAACTCAAGTTTAAAAGTAAAAAAGAAAAGATTTAATCGTCAATCCAAACATCTCGCAAAGAACAGGCCACATACATCSTCAACAAGAAGGAAACGCGTAAATGAAGTSAAAGATGAAAAGCACCTTGCACGAAAGAKATCAGTAAACAAGTCAACTACTGATGCAACCAAGAAACGGGAACAAACTTCACCCAAACAGTCAACAGATGGTTATCGAACAAGAAAACGGCGCCTTGTATCAGCAAGCAAGCCTTCGATAAATGTGGCAAAGAAAAAGTGTCATAGCTTTTTGAAAAATGGCATCCAGAATCAGTGCAAAGATAGTTCCATTGGTCAAAAGACAGACAAATCAACAAAACACAAAGCTAAAAGCTTAAACCAAAGAGTTGATGGAGTTCCTGAAGGTTGGACCAAACTGCTATCAGAAAGGCAAAGTGGGTTATTGAAAGGAAGATGCGATGTGTACGTGTTCAGTCCTGATGGGGTCAAGATACGATCAAGGCCCGAGTTGAAAGCATATCTTGAGAAGACAAAATCGAATCTGTCAGTTTGTGACTTTGACATGAGTAGAAAAACAAGCCACTCAGCATCAAAGAGTCTGCAGGAACAAAGTGTGAAAAGGAAACATAGCTCTTCAAGTTGCACAAGTTTAACTGAGAAACAAAAAGCAARGAGGACAAGGTCATCTCTGGAGGAAACAGCAGAGCAGATAACACCTACTACAAGCAGGAGCAATGGCAATACAAGTATTACAGAGTCTCCAAACTGTGTTAAGTCGCTATATGAATCTCCCATGTCTGATCAGTATTTCAGTGTCAATGAAAGCCTGAATGTTTCCTCAAGAAGTAAGCAATGCAATTTGGAAGCTGAACCAGAAGAAAAACATGTGGACAGGAARGAAAATGGAGGTAATTTTTGTGTGTGTTGATGGGATGCTTAAAGAGTAGTTTTAATGGAATCTGTTTGAGTAATGACTAATTGTTAGCTGTTCTCTCTCTGAATACCTGAAACTCTTCTAAGCTGTCTGTGAAATGTTTTTGTTTTCCTAAAAAAAACTTAGAACACTCCGGGTATGAGATTGTGTAACATTCTGAATCAACATGTATTTCAACTTTTAGAACAAGATGGGGGAGACACAGAAAGTGAAAGGAAGGTCACAGATAAAGCTACAAATTCCAAAAACAATGGAAAGGACACCAAAAACCAGCCCAAAGTTAGTCCTTACTTCTCTGACTCAGGCTCCTCCCCAAATCCACCCAAAATAGGAGATAAAGATACTGACAAAAAGAAGTGGACTCCACCCAAGTCACCATATCATCTTGTACAAGAAACGCTGTTTCATGACCCATGGAAACTGTTGATATCTTCAATATTTTTGAATAAAACTCAAGGTGAGAAAGCAATTCCTGTTCTATGGGAGTTCTTCAGAAGGTATCCAAATGCCGACGTGACTCGCTGTGCTAATCCTAAGCCGATAGCAGGTAATGGAAAATCACAAATGATAATGTTATTTGTGTATTAGAATT